ACCAGTGTGTGTGTTTTTGCGGTGAATTTTTGTTTTAAATTTGGTGTCAGATCTAATAATTTTGAGGTTGAGAAAGGATAACTGTTTATTGTTTTCGTGTTCTATGGTAGATTTGATGTTGGGATGAATGGAATTTATGTGTTTAAAGAAAGTTAGTGTATGTTCTGTAGAGTTGAAACCAGCAAAAGTGTCATCGACATATCTGTACCAGTATAGTGGGGGATGAAGCGCAGAATGTATGGCTTGTGCTTTGATTTTGGTCATGAATATATTGGCAAGAACGGGCGAAACAGGATTGCCCATACTTAAACCGTCTATTTGAAGGAAATGTTCGTTGTTGAAAATGTTTGTTTTAGTCGTTGTTTAGTCGTTTTAGTCGTTAATGCACATCCCCAGCACACTTTTTGCTTCTCTCTCTCTTAGAATTTTTCTAGTTTTCTCCTACTCTAGAACTTTGCATCAAGTTTTCTATAAATCCTTATACTCTGTATTTTAGTGCGATTTTATTTGTTACACTCAGAGTCCAAGTGCATTTTTACCCACTAAACTCTGCACTACTCAGTTTTAATGTGATGCTTTAAACTTTGTACCAAGTGCATTCTGACCCAAGAAATTCAGTACCTAAATGATTTCTGATCCCATAAACTTGGTATCCAAGTGCATTTTGATTCCTTGAACTCTCTTTCCAAATGTGTTTTGACTCAGTAAACTCGGTACCCAGGCACATTCTGAATCAAACTAAGTACCCAAGTGTACACTGAAACCCTTGTAGTCAGCTGTCTTTATGTTCATCATACATACGTGCTTATTAAATAGAAAAAAGGTACTAGTTATACAATCATTAGAATAGTGTAATATAGGAACTGAACCACATGGCTTCCTTATGTATTTTGTCTGTAGACCAACTGAAAATCTAAAATTCCAAAACTAGCTTTTGTTATACAAGTATGTATGATTTATGATTGTTTTATCTCTCATGAAATAAATCATAATTTTTCTTAAAAGATGTATATTGATAGTTATAGGTTAGTTGTTGCCTTCACACTGATAAGTATAAAATAAAAATGATTTATGTAGTAGCTTCCTAATACCACTTCCTATAAAATGCCAAGCAATGTCAAAATGTAGTTGTGATACATGCCATTCCATCCTGAATGCACATTCAAAATTATTTTAATATAATGTGCTCAATCCTGTATGAGCTATGTGTTGGGAAACCAATATTTCTATATTTTTAATATCTACCAGTACGGTGATATATCTTGCAACTTGATCAGAACTACTGTTTATTCCTACAGCTCTGAGCAGTCTGTAGCCTCAGCTAGAGCATCAGTCATGGTCTATGATAATCTCAACCGACAATGGTTACCTAGTGGATCCTCCAGTGGGCTTTCTAAAGTCCATATTTACCAACACATGGTCCATAACACCTTTCGAGTTGTTGGAAGGAAGCTTCAGGACCATGAAGTAAGTGGACTTGTTGATTGACTGAAGTAAGTTCTATACAGGCATCATTACCATGATCTAAGATGTTATGATAGTGAAAACTTGATAAAAAGATCAAGAAGGTGTATAGAAAACCCTGCCTGCCATATTATATTTATAAAGTTTTGTAGTAGAAAATACTTAACTACTTTTAAGAGGAGAATGCATTGATATTTCTAATTAGGGTATGAAAACTGTAAGATCTGCACAAGTTAAAATAAGTAGACAAATGATTGCTATATTAAGAGTGAAAATGAAATAGTAATAAAACAAAAGCCTAAGATTATAATAGTATAAAACTCTGATGAGGCATGATTCATGATCTGAAAGTTTTTTGTTTACCTGTGGTTGTATTGGCTAAGATTATAATAGTATAAACTCTGATGAGGCATGATTCGATTATAATAGTATAAACTCTGATGAGGCATGATTCATGATCTGAAAGTTTTTTGTTTACCTGTGGTTGTATTGGCTAAGATTATAATAGTATAAACTCTGATGAGGCATGATTCATGATCTGAAAGTTTTTTGTTTAGCTGTGGTTGTATTGGCTTGGCAGGCTTTTGTGTCTAGAAATAATCATAAAAATATTAATTTAAGCTTTTTTATTATTATTATTATGTATTTTTCAGGTTGTAATAAACTGTGCCATTCTAAAAGGGTTGAAATACAACCAAGCAACCCCAACCTTCCATCAGTGGAGAGATAACCGTCAAGTTTATGGTCTCAACTTTAGCAGCAAGGAAGATGCCCATATTTTTGCATTAGCCATGGTCAAGGCTTTGGAAGCTATTGACCAGAATAGTAAGTTTGTGCTGAAAGCTTTAAGTTATAGTTAATATTGAAAGTTCAGAAAGCTTGTGCAAAAAATGTTGATTCACAAATATTAATTTCTTCATTGTCACATGTGTCATGTAAGAGATAAAGAAAGGCTGTAGAAAGGTGAGAATTAGATGATGATAATAATATGTCGACTCTGAATTTTTTTATGTATTTTGTTCTGAAATAAAGGATTCACTTAATAATCTGTTGACATTTTAACATACAAGTGAATTATCAAAACTTGACACTAAAGAAAACATGGGTTTAATTAATCCTGGGATCTGCATTAGATCTACAGTATGACATCAACAGTTCTTAAACTTTGTATACTTGAGATCTTCATTAGCTCTACAGTATGACATCAACAGTTCTTAAACTTTATATAGTTAAATGAATTATTTGGTTGTAAATCAATCCAAGCATGACAAATAACCAGTTAGAAAGATTTCAAAGGATAATTTCCCTAGTTGCTGTCTTACATATGATCTAAGGCTTTGGTCTCAAGTAACTTTGATTCTAACCCAACTGCACTCTGGCACCAATGTGAAGTGTTTTAACACATTTCTTAGGCTTATTTTGTTTGATGTCTCTAATATAATATAAAACAGCAGATAAAGTTGTGGAAACATTGAAATATTGTTTAGCGTGTTTCATCAACTCTTGAGTTCAGCCTAACTTGTAGCAGAAATAGGGTTGTGGAAGAGCCTAATCCCAACATTATTATTGCATATTTAAATGCGATAGCATCACAAGCTTTACTAATTGTGCTGGCTTTCTCTCTCATATTTTTTGAAAACCTATGTAACAGTCATGACTTCACCATGGTGTCTCGGGGATAAGCATAAGGGCTTATAATGCTAAATATCAGGCTTCACTACCATTGGTGGGCTGAACGCAAATAATCAGTTATGTAGCTTTGTGTTTAACAAGAAAAAAAATTCTTAAATGTCCTTTTTTAGATAATTATAATCCCTTTTTTCTGAATCCTGACTTCAGGCACACAAATAATTCTTTTTCTTTGATTTCTTCTTTTTTGCAGATACCACAAAAAATCTAAAGTAGTTCTTTATAACATGTAAAAAATGATATTGTAATCTTCTTTCTTGTGTGTGCTAAAAATCCATAAAGAAAATGTTTATCAAAAAGCTGGTTCATTGAAAAACAAAAATAACAAGGATGTTATGTTCAGAATGAAAGAAACCTTCTTTTAATATAATGTCTGGTAAAAAGTAAAATAAAAATAATAGACCTTTTGGTGATGGATTCTTGTCTGTTTAAGAAATTTTTTGAGAAATACCACAATTGGCAAAGAAATACACTTGTTAAGGTTTTTGCTGTAATGTTTCTATGTATGCAGTATATTTAAATGTATTAATCAAGTATTTTTTGTTCTTTCACTAAGTTTTGGAAAAGGGTTTTGCCGCAAGCTCTTTGTTTGGATCATTAGCATAAATGTGAAATATATAAAAATAGAAAACTTTGTCAGGCTTAAAGATCTTGAGAAAAAGAGTTTTGAGTACTTATCAAAACAAAACACTGAGTAATATTGTAGTGTCAACAAATTTGAAAATCTTTTGAATGATTTGTGTATGTTGACAAACTTTGGACATTCATGATAAAAATCTCTGATGTTAAGATTTTTGCTCAGATTCCACGCTTCCAAGATCCCTACAGTCACAAGTAGTGCCTCCACATTATCAACAACAACAACCAATCTATCAAATCCAACAGTACCAACAACCAGTCTACCAAGAAATTGGTCAGCCAATTCAAAATGGCCACGTAGAAACATATTTCTGGTATGTTCCTTTTCTCTATGTGTGTGATGTACTTTTCCGTCAGAAACATGTGTCTGGTGTGTTTCTTTTTCTCTGTTTACCTGTAATGTTCCTTTCCACAGAAAAATTTTATTGTTGATATAGAGAGCATGTAAAGAGTTATTTTTGTAGGAGTTATAATATGTAATATTGTAGTTATCAGAAAGTTCTGATCAAGTCAAATTACCTGCATTGATCAGAACTAAAAATTAACACAGTAAATAACATAGCTAGGATTATATGGTTCAAAAAAACAAAAAATTAGTAAGATTAGAATGTATTAATTCATCAGATGGGTATCTCACAAAGTGTAGCCATATTGGGAAATTTTGGTTAGTCATGTACTAAACTAACAGTGAAAAATGATCCTCATAATATAAAAGTTTATATATATATATAACGACTAAATGAAAATAATAAATGTATAGATATTAAATTTTTAAGATTAGATTAACATTAAATAAAGAATGGAATATAATTTGTTTACAATACACATGAATACCACTGATTTCTCGTCCCTCAAAAAAGCATGATGTGAGTATGTTCAGAACTTCATGTAATCATCCCTAACAGTATCTAGTAGTCAGTGAAAGTCCACGAAATGGTTCAGACATTGTATTTTAACATGTGAGATAAATGGCTACAACACAATTTACTGTGTGGCTAGAGGGCTTGGTAGTGTAATGGTACAGAGAGTAGAGCAAAAGACAAATATTTATGTAGATAACAATAACAAAACAAATAAATAGCAAAATTTTAATACTTTATTTAATAATAAAGTCAAATATAATAATAATAAGACACTAAATGTATTAGGAGCTGTTTCTATACACCTAATCTGACTTCAAAGCCCCACCTTTCCCTAACAAAACATGGTAAATTTATAAACAGACATGAACTTTACTAGAATATCAGATCATAAAATTGCTTTTTGTTTTCACTGACCAGTGTCAGACTATATTTTTACTTTCCATTTTGAGTGACCAGTGTCAGGTTATATTATTACTCCCACTTTGTTTGACTATTGTCAGGTTATATTATTACTCCCACTTTGTTTGACTATTGTCAGGTTATATTATTACTCCCACTTTGTTTGACTATTATCAGGTTATATTATTACTCCCACCAAAGTGGGAGTAATAATATAACCTGACAATAGTCAAACAAAGTGGGAGTAATAATATAACCTGACAATAGTCAAATTTGACTATTGTCAGGTTATATTATTACTCCCACTTTGTTTGACTATTATCAGGTTATATTATTACTCCCACATAAATAAAATTGATGAAAAATTACTCTTTACTGATTTAATCTAATTCACACCCTAACAGCTGTTATACAGCAATTTGCTATTATAAATGGCATCTCAACAACTACTATGCTTGTCATATCTCAGCTAACCTGATGAACCTTGGTGTTGGTTGAAAAGCTTTAGTAGATATAGTTTGGTTGACATTATTATTATTACAATACACTCTTCTTGGGAGTAATTATTAATAAGAACTTCTGAGTGACTCGTATTAGATTGTGTTATTACTTCCCACTTTGAGTTTCCAAAATACAAATCTGAACTTTTATTATTTTACTGACCTTGTTGATAGGTTAGTGTTGATTGGTGTTTTGGTGTCTATGCATTTTTACTCCGTGAAGAATTGACCATAATAAAATACTCATGTTTTTAAAATTGGTCAACTTCAATGATGTTAAGTCACCATTTTGTCTGGTGTCCCCAAAAGTTGAAAGTAGATGTATTTCATTAGTTTAATCTTCTCTAGATAATTTTGTAATTTGTTACTCTAGTCCTGTTCATTGACACTGTCATTATTACACTGCAGGAACAGAGAAGAGTCTGGAGGAGAGAAAAGACAGTCAGCTCTTCAGTATGTTTCAAACACAGGTACATGATGATTTATTGTCCACAAATCTTTGTGTCTTCAAAACAGTGTAGTCTTCAAATAACTGGCCAGATATGACAAGTTTTTACTGTATATTGCTTCTTGTTGTTATTTCTTAGGGAAAATAATCTTTGTTTTTAGTATTTTGGAGTTGGATGGTAGAGTTCATCTCTATGTTATCTTGGATTTTCAGGAAAAAATAACAGAGGAACATCTGCTGATACTAAATGATATACTACAATAGAAAGTAGGTTAACCCTCCAGTTATATTTAGAGTTTAGGTATGTGTGTTTTGGCCAAAGTAAACTTGTTGTTGTTTCAAGTGGCCTTGAATTGATAAAATCTTATTTCTTTAGACAGCTGTTACTGTTTTATGTTAAGTATTTTAAATTAATGTAATCTGTCATTGTACTAAACTCAAAAACATGTTTAATTGTATCATAATATATAGAAACCAAAGTCAAATCAAATTGATCTGAAACCTAATAGGAGGGATAATTAACGGAACTTAACCATTTAATGGAATAATATTCCCACTACACAGGGATGCTTTAGATAATTATATAGCATTATGTGATTGTGGGAATCTGTGCCACATTCAGAATGTTTGATTAGATAAACTTATTTATACTTCAGTGTTACCTCTTTAATGGTATGTGGGTTATGAAATTAGGTTTAAATGTATTACAGTGGGAGAATACACTAGCAACAGTCACCCAGTCACATTAGCTAATGCACCACCTAGTGGATCTAGTCATAATCATTCTCCCTCATCTTCGTTGGCAACTCCACCTCTGGCGCCACCAGCTGTGTCTACACCTCTTTCAGGTCAAGGTGCTCCTCCAGCACCACCTCCCCCTCCTTTTAGTGCTTCCCAAACACTTCCCCGACAAGGTTCTTCTAGTGGTTCCCCCATGTCACTGGCTACTGCTCTTCAAACAGCCAATCTAAGATCAATAAAGGTAGAGTGATTCAAATGTGTAATAGATTGTTTAGGGACTGTTAGTGTTAGGATAAACTATATAGAAATTATTCTATTTGAAGAATCTTTTCTATTTAAGTATACACTGTTAGAGAACATGCATATAACTAATTTTTATTGTCCAATTACTGAAGAGTTGGATTTTTAAATATTGTTGCTTTCAGTTTCAATGTGTTTTCCTAGAATTATAGAGATTTGATTTTTTTTTACGTTTTATTTTGATATTAAAATGAATCAACATGTTGCAACCCATTTTAAAACAAAAGCACACTTGTCAAAATAAAGTCATACTGAATACATCTATCTCTCCATTCAAAAAATGAGAAACATATTAACTTTCAGATATTTTTGTAAGATCCTTACATTTGATCATCAAGTGTTAACTTACACTACTACAGACTTCTTTTCTCATCAAAACTTTAAAATTTACTTATAAGAAACATAGATTTCACAAGATCAATTTTCACAACCTATCTGTTGCTGCATGTCTACTAGATTCAAGTAGGGTGGTTGAAAGAATCTTTAATAAATCCTCATGTTTTTTTTTCTCTCAGAATTTGTAAAATCATAATAATTTGAATTGTAACAAACAACGATTTATAAGCATAATGAAGAGGTTTTATTTTTGAAAAATAAATATAGAAATAAAATCACAAAGGTGATGAAGATATCAGAATTAAAGAATAGGTTGAACAATCGCCAAGGTTTTGTTAAATTTTTATTGAAAGAGCTAATACTCTTCATTAGGTCATACAGCTTACAACTCAGAAGAAGACTAATCAATGTTGTATGTTCCCTCCAAATAAAACCATTTCATGATGTTTATAAATTTTGTTAATTTACTATTATGTTAATGTAATATTCTTCCATACACAAGTATTATAATAACTGTTGGAACAACTGAAGCAGAAATAACGGGATAATTTTTATGTTGTGATTAAAAATTCTCTCTGTGTCTAGGTATCTGAAAGTGACATAACACGGTCTGCTCCAGTTGGATTAATGGATGAAATAACTAAAACGTTGGCCAGAAGGTAACTTCTTCTGTATTAAAAACAAATGTATACAACAAATACACAGCTCTTTTTTTATAAGGTCTATCCTAGATTTCCTTTTCATCCATCAATGATAAGGTGAATATAATAATGTTTTTTCTTTATAATCTTGATGTTTAGTAATGACTAGAGATTAAGTAACATGATTTTTATATTTTCTTTTCTCTCTGTGTGATATGTCAAGGAGGTGGAAGTACTGAACTGTTTTTATAGTTTGGAATGTTCATGCAAAGTTACAAAAGGGCTGTTTGTGATAACTGTTATTAGTTTGGAGCTGATAGACTAGGGGAAAGGCAGCTAATCAACAGCACAACACCCACCTCCAGGTCTTTGGCTAATTTAACTGAATAGTGAGGTTTCACCATCACTTATAATACAACCAAGGCCTTAAAATATTAGGTGCATGATTTTATGGCAATGGAATGTAGGCATGGACCACCACATTCATAGCCGAGAAACATTGAAAAGTGTGATACGATACAGAGATGGATGTAATGAGAAGTTGACAAAGAAACAGAGATAGAAATACCGGATAACAAAGAGAGAGAGAATTATTTAAACAATTATGAAAATATAGACATGGAAGTATTGAGATGATGATAACAACACAGAAATGGAAGTAGCAAGAAGTTGACAAGATATATAAGTTGGAGTGATTACTGTGTCATTAATTTATCTATAGAGAAAGTCAGAGTGATCACTGTGTCATTAATCTATCTATAGAGAAAGGCAGGGTGATTACTGTGTCATTAATCTATCTATAGAGAAAGTCAGAGTGATCACTGTCATTAATCTATCTATAGAGAAAGTAAGAGTGATTACAGTGTCATTAATATATGTAAAGATAAAGTCAGAGTGATTACTGTGGCATTAATCTATGTAAAGATAAAGTTGGAGTGATTACTGTGTCATTAATCTATCTAAAGAAAATGTCAGAGTGATTACTGTGTCATTAATCTATCTATAGAGAAAGTCAGAGTGATTACTGTGTCATTAATCTATCTATAGAGAAAGTCAGAGTGATTACTGTGTCATTAATCTATCTATAGAGAAAGTCAGAGTGATTACTGTGTAGTTAATGTATCTATCTATAAAGTCAGAATGCTTACTTTGTCATTAATCTATATATAAAGAAAGTCAGAATGCTCACTTTGTCATTAATCTATCTATAGAGAAAGTCAGAGTGATTACTTTGTCATTAATCTATGTAAAGAGAAAGTCAGAGTGATTACTGTGTCATTAATCTATCTATAGAGAAAGTCAGAGTGATTACTGTGTCATTAATCTATGTAAATATAAAGTCAGAGTGATTACTGTGT